TTGCTGCAGACTTGCCTAAGAACTTGCTAGCCAAGGACTTATAGGATGGAATTGAAAAGAGAGGAAGAAGTCCTGTAGTCTCTAAAAGCATCTTCTGTTAAAGAGGTTCTTCATCTGGAGTCCACAAACTTGTTAAATTTTTTATAACTGTATTCGAACTGGTTTCCTTTGTGATACTATATATTCTGTTTCATGCATTTAACACCATTATTCCAAGGAGTCTATAGGCTTCACCAGATTGCTACAGGGGTTCATGACACAAAGAAAGTTAAGAATCTCCATTCTGCATAAACAGAGGGACAAACACCCCTACATTCACGGATCTTACCTTTGGGTCACCGAATTTCAAAGATGAGAGGGACCTCAGTGACCATCTGGTGCAGCACATATCTCAAAATATTTCATCGTACTCAGCACATGACTATCTAGCTTTTGCCTGAAGATGTCCAAGGAGAGAACCCATTGCCTCTTGAGTTCTCCTATTCCATTTTTGGATAGTTTTAACCATTAGGAAGTTTTTCAGTGAAGCTTAAAATTTTGTGTCTTCACAACTTCCCCCTATTGCTACTAGTTGTGCCCTCTAGGACCAAGCAGAAAAAAATCTAATCTCTTATCATGTCACAGTAAATACTTGATGACAGCTATCATGTCCTCTATCAGTCTTCTCTTTTTTCGGGCTAAATAGCCAGAGTTCCTTTAATTAATTCTCATGCATGCTTTGTGTCTGTCCAAGTTCCAGACACAATAGTGACAGTTGACTCTTTGTGCGGCACTGAGTGGGGCATGGATTACAGAGGGTCTACTGATGTTTATAAAACTTATGAATTGAGCTCATCGAGGCTCTGTTCTGGACTGCCTTCTCTTTTTTCCCTATATTTATTCATTTGGTGATCTCATCAGCTTATGAATTCTCCAATTATTATTTCCAGACTTACGGCTCTCAGAGTTACATATATAGCCCTAGTCTCTTTTCTGAGCTTCAGTCCTACATCATTAAATGCCTATTTAAACTCTATGTCCCATAAGCATCTCCACTTCAAGAGGGCCCCGACAGAACTCATTGTCTTCCCCATTCCTCAAGACCACCTTTCTTCCAAACTCTTCTATTGCTATTGAGGTCATCACCATCCTCCTAGTCACTCAGGCTCCCAATCTCTTTGTTATCCTCTCTCTCTCTCTCTCTCTCTGTCTCTGTCTCTCTCTCTCTCTGTCTCTCTCTCTCTCTCTCTCTGTCTCTGTCTCTGTCTCTCTCTCCCCCTAGACACCCAATATGTTGCCAAGTCTCATCATTACTATCTCCACATTTCTTGGTACTCTTCTCTGGACAGAAAAAGCTACCACCCTTGTTCAGGCCCTCATCACCTCTCAACTGGACTATTGCAGTGATTTCCTGCTTGGCCTCCCTTACTTAACTTTCTTCCTGCTTTAGTCTGTCCTTATTCAGGTAGAGGTGATTTTCCTAAAGTCTAGGACTGAGCAGTTCAACCTTTCGTTAGTAAACTCCAGTGGGTCCCTATTACCTTGAGGTTCAAATATAAAATCCTCTGTATTTTAAGGTCCTTCAAAACCTATCCCCTTCCTACCTTTCCAGTCTTCTTACTCTTCATTCTCTCCACAGAGGTTAAGCTCTAGCAACAGTGGTCTTCTTGCTGTCCTCAAACACGCCACTCCATCACTCATTTCTCTGCCTTTTCATAGGTTGTCCCCCATTCCTGGACTGTTCTTTCTCCACACCTCTTTCCTATGTTCCTTCAGTACTCAGCTCAAAGTTTACCTTTGGCAGTAGATCTTTCTTGGCCCCCCTACTTGCTTTCCATCTATTCTATATGAATCTTGTTTGTACCTATTTATTTACAGGTTGCTTCTCCCATTTAAATCTAAGCTCCTTGAGGACAGGTACTGTTTATGCCTTTTTTAAACATACCTAGCAATTAGGACAGTGCCTAGCATATTGGTTGTCTGAATGATTGAAAGAAGAGGGAATGAGATTTCAAGGTCAGAGAAAATATTTGGATTTTCATGGCAATATAACTCTAAAGAAATGGAGCTCCACAAAACCTTTACTTAGTTGCATTTTTGAAAAAAAGAACAACACAACTTTGTTTATAAGTAGAAGAGGAAAAAAATGAATGCTGTAATCATTCGCTTTTATTAATGATAAGAAAGTGAGGTAGTTTAATCCTTCAGAAGTGAATGCTTCAGGGTATGCCCCAGACAATGAACTTTCACTTTCTGGTGTTGTAAATTATATTTAAACCTTTCCACTGCAACTGTTTGTTTTCCCAGTTAAGGTCACTTTAGCATGATGTTATTTGGGACTTAAGCCACAATTCTGCCCAAGAATTATTTGAACTAGTCAACATAGCAGGTATCCTGGAGAAAAGAAGTCTTGAACTTTGAAGTGTGAGACCTAGTTATTGGAGTGGGACATAATCTTGAAATTCACAGTTTGCATTCAGGAAATATTTCATTTTTATTGACCAGTTCTTCATCTAGAGTCACATACCTGCAGTGCAGGCCTTCCCAGAGTGATTTCCACAGTAGAAATGGCCCAAGCTAATGATAGGCTCCACCCACAAACCTTTGCCAGACCTGGAAGAATAGGTAGTTGAGAATATAGATGGGCATATTGGCAGGCAGGCTTTGAGTAAGAAGCTCGCTCCAGATATTGAGCTGGAAGTATTGTTTTAATAAAAATTGGGCATTTGCTTCCAGCTGACAGCAAAGCTCATGAAACTATTTGTCCTTGAGATATCAGTATATCTGATGTTGATATTATATTACATATCTGGGGCCTATTGCAGTTCAGTGAGGAGTTCTCACTGGATTTAAGAAATGTTCAAAACTTTAAATGTTGCTTAAAGGTTTTTTTTTTTTTGGTTCTTTTTCCTGAAATATAGTTCTACTGTAAGATATAAGCAGATGCCTACTTTGTAAGGAAGATTAGAATGATGCTATTGGGTACAGTTATAAATATTGTAAAATACAAAAAAAAATAGCCTCTCCCCCCCCCCAAATGTTAGATTTATAAGGAATACAATTATTTCTTTTTTAATTTAATATTTTATTTTTTCCAATTACATGTAAAAAGTTTTAACTTTCTTTTTTCGAGTTCTGATCTCCAAATTCTCTCTCCCTTTTCTTTCCCCCTCCCCCATTGAGAAGGCAAGCCATTTGACATGTGTAGTAATGCAAAATGCATTTCCATGTAAGTCATTCTGTGAAAGAAAAATATCTTCCATCTGAAATACAATTATTTCTTGAATAGCTTCAGTATTTAACATAGTTAACTGTGTCTAAGGATTTTTCTTTTAAAATAGGACCTGAGATTTCACTGACGAGTAAATTTCTCTACCAATGGATATTTGAATCTTTTCTTAACTTTAAAGTCTCAGAGAGAGGCTACGTGACCTGGCCAGTCACACAGCCAGTATATTTTAGAGTCAGGATTTGAACCCAGGAATTTCAAACTTCAAAGTCAGCTCTCTACCTATGCCACATTGTCTCTCATCTTAGTAATAAAATAAGGCATTTTTTTTTTTACCATTTTCAGAATGCACAGCACTGCTGTTCTACCTTGGAGAACTTGGCTCCATGTGGTCTCTGCTCTCAAAGGGCTTTCAGTATTGAATCACATGTTATTTTTTTACAATGAAAGCACAGTATTTTCTCTCTTGCAGTTTCCAAAGCCTTCTTACATCATTAATATTTTTTTTAAAAGGGAACAAAAATAATCAGTGGAACAAAGAGCTGTATTTCATTCTATACATCTCTACCCATTGTGTATTTTAGAGTATACCAAGAAATCTAAAGACAAAATCTTTTGACTGTAGAGTTCTTTTTTTCTACTACATCTTTTTGAGCTTCAGGATTGTTGCTAGATACTGGTTTTTAAATGCTTTCTAAATCTGTATTCTCTGTTCAGATGCTAAAGATATATGATTGCACATATATGTGTGTGTATATATACACACACATATATTCATATGCATTCATTCATACATACACATAGGACTTTTGTTATTGTTCAGTCCGGCTCATTTTACAGATGGGACAGAGTTAAGTGATTTGCCCAGGGTCAAATACCTGGTAAGTGTCTGAAGTCACATTTGAACTCAAATCTTCTTGACTCCAGGCCTAGCACTCTATCCACTGTGCTCCATCCACCTAGCTACCCTACACATAGGACTATTGTAATATATTTTTTCTAGAGTATCATTGTAATTGACAAATAGTTCAAGTATTCACTGACTCCTGCTTCTGATGCTTAATAGAATGGTGGGGTAAATCACTTAATCTCTATGCACTTCAGGCAACTCTTCTTTTTCTGTACTAAGTCTTAGAGAGGTTGAAATTGGCCTCAATGGAGGGAAATCCCACACTAGGATCTTTTTTTTTTTTATTTGTATTCATCAAAAGAGTTTCTCATTACTGGTTGATTTGGGTATTTTAGGTAATATGACAATCAATTTCTTCCTAATTTCTCCTCCTATTAGGCTGCCTCCCTCTCCCTCAATTACTTTGTATATAACCTTTGTTTATATTTTTATATTTTCTTATCTGTGTCTACCAAGTGAGACCTGTATGGTAGAGGAAATTCCTCACTGGGAGTTCCCAATTTGATGAAATCACAGATCTGGTTTAAAAAAAAAAAAGACTTATCTGTGAACATATTTTTTTTCTTTCCTGGAATAGAATTTAAGATCCCAGAGGGCAACCATTATTTTGTTTTTGTCATTGGATTCCTTGCAGCCAGCAAGGTGCCTGATACATAGTAGGTGTTTGTTAAATGTTTGTTGAATTAATTTTGATTAAATTGAATTGAATTGATAGATAGGATTTCTCCCTTGAAATTAATTATCTAAGAATGGAGATGCTACTGTGATGACTTCAGTTTTTAATAAAAATGGTTTTTAGTTGAATGTTATTTTACCTAAATCTTCATGAAGCACTTGAACTTGGAAAAGGGGCTCTTTCATGATAATTAATTTTCTTTACAGGGTAGCAGAGGAGAATTAGGACCCAGTGGTCCTCCAGGCTCACCAGGCAAAGTGGTAAGTGATGCCTTTTTTTATTCGTCAGCTTTTTGTATTTACTTTCTCTAATTCATGCTATTATGAGAAAGGAGAGGTGGGTGAACCCAGTACAGAAAAGCAGAGGGAAATAATGTAGGAGAAGTCACTGATAAACCACATTTCATTTTCATTACTTTGTGAATGCCTGGAAATAAAAGGTAGCAATATTTGAAACAGCTCAACTAAAAATGCCATCTAGGCCACATGTGGAGGGGCATGTTAGTAGCTGTAGCCTGTGACACGAGTTCTGAAATGGTGGGAAACATCGGGTGCCACATTTGGGTTGTGGTTTTTCCTGGAATTCAGGAGCCTGATGCATGAATGCTGTCTTTTAAAACATCTACACTGCTTATTTACACAGCAAGAGGGGGTATGCCTCACAGAAGCCTAAGCTGAAAGAGCCCACTGTTGTAGAGGAATGTAAACCTCAGGAGTTGGTGATCTCAGAAGGGGAAAAAAAAGCCATGAAGGACAGGCTGCTTTCAGGAGGAAAGTTAGATACCTGCCTTATATTTGTTTCAGGAAATGGCCAAACCAGCTAGGCCGCGTATTGGCTGGTGGGACTGTATGCTTAGAGTGTTAGCTGTTACATTGACTTTTTGTTTTTGTGCTTGATGATTTACAGGGTCCTCTTGGCAGCCCAGGCCTTCCAGGTCTGCCTGGTCCCCCTGGACTCCCTGGATTGAAAGGTGACAGGGTAAGGATTCAGATGGTAAAGAGGTTACTTTGTCATTGGGCATTTACTGCATTTTGTAAGCTAACAGATGGTTATACAGAGGCTCCATTGACTAAGTAGGAGGATGGTTTCAGTCAAATGGAGAATTTCCCTAGAATGTAGTTCAGTCACTTACAAAGCAGACAAGTCTCTTTACTATGATGTAATGTGATGCAGTGGGAAGAGGGTAGCCTCTGAGGAGGGCGGTTCATCTCTCTAGGCTTGTTTCCTTATTGAAAAATGAGGGAGTTGGATTATATGAACTTTAAATTTAGCAGATTATGAAAAAAATCTCTCCAGATGGTAATTGTTTATTGTCCAAAGAGAAAAGAATTATGGGTTGAGAAAGGAAATTCCCTTTATGATCATCAATTCACAGATCATTAGAAATGGAAGGACCTATGGGTCATGGAGTACTAGCCCCATCTCTCTCATTTACAAGTCGAGAAGCCAAAGCCCACAGGGGTCAAGTGATTTTTCCCAGCTCAAATAGCTAGTCATTATCAAAGCTGATGCTTAAACCCAGGTTTCCTGATACGTTCTTTAGGTATGACATCTAGTCTAACCCCCTCATCTATCAGATGAAAATACTGAAATTCAGAGACATTAAGGTTTCATGAATATTAAATAGCAGAGCAGGTATTTACACCTACATCTTTTGACTCTTGCCATTGACCTCCAATCTCTAATGCTCTCGCCGCTATCCTATGTTGCTGTCTCAGGATGCTTTGTCTGTGATAACTTCCTTCTCTAATAAGGATCAGGGCCTTACCCACCTTTGCTGGTCTGGGCTTCCAGTCTATCATGTTTTAAGTCCATTTTCTCTACAGCTGCCAAAAACAATGTTCCCAAGGCACAGGTCTGGGCATTCTCCTATTCAAAAACTTTCAGTGGATCCCCATTGTTAATGGGATAGACTATATACTTTCTTAGATACTCTACAATTTGACTCTCAACTATCTTTCTGGCCTTAGTTTAAACTATGCAGCTATACTCAAATTTTCTGTTCTGTCTATAAACTATTATCTATTTTTGGACCTTGACACTATCTCCCACCTCTTTGCATTTTCACAAGCTATTCTTTAAGGCTTAGAATGAACTCCTTCCTCATCTCTGTCTCTTAAAATCCTTGTCTTCTGTCAAGGTCAATTTAGAAAGCCACCTCCTATGAGAAGCCTTCCCTGTGGTTGGTGTCCTCTATTTCCCTTAATTTCTCTTGCATTTTATTTATTACAATGGCAAACAGGAGAATTAAAGCGGCTCTCTGAACAAAAGTTAGCATAACTAACATGTTCTCCATTTCTTAAATCTAGATAATCAACAAAACAATAAATCAAGACCTGCTTTGTAACTTTTTGCTGATTTCCAAGGTGTGAGTACTCACACTGAAAATATAACAATGGGCTTCAAACTGGTTCAAATTGGCTCCAGCACACCCCTATGTACAAATTATATTCTAGCCCATTTACAGTGGTAGGATGTAAGCTTCTTGAGAGCAGAGAATGTTTTCATTTTGCTTTTTTAAATGCCCAGCACTTGCTGCCTTGCATATAGTATATGCTTAATGTTAATGACTGTTACAGTGAATTGACTTTGTCATCTGGCCCCATATTGATGATAGGGAGATACTATTTCTTACCTTTCTCCATTAGTATGGGTAGGGGGAGTTGGTTAATTCATATTTCTATTGTACTTTCATCATATTTTTTAAAAAATGACACTACTTCTTAAGTTCCATGTTCTGAGACAATATCACAATGTCTTTAATATAGGGTTCAGTTGGTGAGCCTGGTCCAAAGGGAGAACAAGTAAGTCTTATAATTTGATCCTTGTGATGTTTCATTGAATACTCTATGTGGTATTTAGTATTTGGTAAGTTACAATTGCCACTGTGAAGTTATATGGATGTAGCTTAAAAAAAGTGGGACCACTGGCCTCTTTCCTCATGTGAAAATAGTTAACTGTTAATCATGGTTCTCCCTGTGGGTCTGCACATAGCTTTTCTGTGAAAAAGCACCTCTCTGGCTCTGTCCTCCAAATTGGCTTGTCTTTGGTTGTTTAAACATTCTACAGTTTCAGCCAAAGAATCACACTGAGGCCATCAGCTAGACAAGTTTAATTTTTTTCCTTTGGGTTCCTTGTCCATTAGAAAGAACATTCCTTCAAAGGCTTTCCAATGAATAAGCTAAGGATTCTAATGATTAATCCAGAAGCCCAAATGAAATTCAGGTCAAACTTTTTGGATTCTTCCTGAAGCTGTTGTTGATTATGGTTAGCCTCACTTTCAACTAGACTATAAGCCGTTTGAGGGCAGACACCACAAATAATTTTTCTTTAATTTTTGCAATGCTCAGTAGAAAGATAGGTCCATAGTAGGCATTCAGTAAATACTCACTTGATTGGCTAGATGATTAAAACTAATCTAGAGTAGTAATAATGTGAAGTTTTTTGCCTTAATTTTAGGGTCGTGTTGGTGAAGAAGGTGAAGCAGGAGGAAGAGGAGAACTAGTAAGCCATTTTTATTTATTTCACTTCTATTTTAAAGTGGTCTGTAACCAAACTTTATAAATACTTTTGACTTGTTTTCCTTAGATTTTTAAAATTTTGCATGTTCTTAAATTGAAATCTATTCTCTTCATTGACTTCTGAAAAAATCTGGACTATTTTGTCTACAAGCACACTTCTATTATAGGTAAAAATTGGAGTAAGGGGAAAACCCTGTAGTTTCTAATCTCTTATGGACCTGTCCTCTCCACTACATCTTTTGGAGGCAAAAAAATACTTATGTCTAGATGGTACATCTAGATGATAGTGAAAGAAAATTTGCATGCAAGTCTATAAGTAATTCTCATATGTCTTGGTTTGCCCAAGAATAATTAATAGTTCCTGTCATTGAGAAAATATGTTGGAGAGAAGGAATCTCCATCCTTGATAGAAAGCTGCCCTGTGAATCCTCCTCCATAGTTTTAAAGTTTCCAAAAAATTAACTCTCAATGGATTAGATGCTCCTAGGAAATAATTTGGAGAACTGTTTGGTCATTTCCTCCCTATTGAAACAGATTAAAATTTTTTGAAAATGTGGAGAGGTTTTTATTTTGATATCTTTTTTTTGAAGCAAGATGGCTACATTTCTCATCAAATCATTTTTTAAAACCATTTTTAGAGTAAAAAGCTATCAGAACTGGGATTTGATTTTCTATTTGATTTTGGAGATTTAACTCTAATCTAAACGTGATACTTGATTTAGCAAAATGTTCCCCATTGTCAAGTAAATTTGGGGGGAAAAAAAGCTTATCTCAATTTTTCTCTGAGTTCCAGATATTCATTTCTAGGCAAAGAGAATGAATTCCATTTGCTTTCCAGTGCTGATTGACTGATGAGTGACATCTTTAAATGAACATATTTTTTCTATTAGCTGACATTATCACTTTTGGGACATTTTCACATTTCACTTTTTTTTAAATTATGAAAGAAAACCATATTTGTGAGATAGATTAAAAAAAAGTGTTTCCAAGAGTATAAAAAGGAACTTTGACTTTGCAATTTTTATAAGGTATTGGAACTTTTAATGATATTTTCACATCTTATGACATTATACTTTTATTAATCTGATCATATTTCCTCCAACATTTCAATAATACAATCCAGTTTGGAAAGTTTTAAGCAAATTATCTCAACTGTGAATACATTGTTCTAATATAATTTTGTTTTATTGATTTAGGGAGATATAGGATTGCCAGGCCCAAAGGGATCTGTAAGTATGATGAAGAGTAATATTATAAAAAAATCAATAAAACTGTATAATCTCTGCAGCATTTTACTTTATGAAATCCATCTCTAACCATCAATTCTTCAAGGACTTGCCTCCAAGTAAATGAAGAACCAAATTTACTAATTTATTTCAATAATAGATTGAATCAATGGAAAACTCCTGCCATTATGGAAACACATTTCACTTTGGAAGTAACCCTGCTAAAGAATGGTCTCTGCATTTCTTTAGGAATGACTCGGTCACCATTAAGTGGCAATACATTTTCCAATTTTCTGCCCAAATTGGTCATTTTTAAAAATTAAATTGAACACATTGGGGAAAAGCATCAGTATTTTATTATAATTTCCTTAGTAATTATAAGATTGAAAAATGTTTCTTTGGTTTTTGTAATTTCCTATGTATTGGGACATGAGAGTCACAATGGAAGAATAGAGTGTTAGCTAAAGAAATCACATTAAGTTGGAGGACTTTCATCCTTTTTTTCCTTGTGATATCAGAAGTCTCACATTATTGCATGTGAGGTCCAGAGCTTTCATGAAATCCTTCATTAAGGCAGTAATTGTTTTTTAAATGGTTCAGACCATTGAGAAATGAAGGGAAATTTCAATTTAAGGCACTATCTGCTTATTGAACACTCAGACGGTAGTTGACCAAACAATTCTTTTTGCCACTTGTGATGCCTACATCGTGTGTGTGTGTGTGTGTGTGTGTGTGTGTGAAAGAGAGAGACATACACACTCCTATACTATTTAAGGTTCTTAATGGTCAAAGGGCATTATGTTCAAAAACTCTTGAAGTAATAGGAATAACTGGCATTTTTAGAGCATTTTAAGGTTTTGCAAAGTTCTTTACAAATGTTAATTGTATTTTCTCTTCACAATAACCCCTCCTCGGGTAGGTGATATTGCTATTCTATTTTTACAGATGAGGGAACTGAGGCAGGCAGCAATTAAGTTACTTGCCCAGATCACACAGCCAGTAAGTGTCTGAGGCAAGATTTAAACTTAGGTCTTCCTGACACAAAGTCTAGTGCTCTATCTACTGTGTCACCTAGCTATCTCAATGAATGTCAAACACAAGGCATAGGTCAGGAAAATATGCAGACAAAATCTTCATGGAGTTTTGGAGTGAAAAATCCTTCTTCTTTATGTGTATATGTAAGGAATACTCAGGGTCATATTAGTTCTAAGGCCTTAAATGATTGAGTTAATCAAAAGAGCTGTCCATTGGTCAAAAGTAAGAAGAGAGAGGATGATTGAGTTAATTTTATTTAAATTTGGATCAAATTCTCAGCTTTTAAGCTCTTGATGAAAAACAGTGACCTCGGATTTGCACCTTTCCCTGAATTGGGCCAGGAGTCGCTAATGGAACACATCCTTCCCTTCCCCACTTTTCTCTTTAGCCCAGGATAGTCCTAGGCAGAATTGTGAAGTAGAAAACTTTGCTCCCCTTGTTCTCTTTCAGCATCTTTTGGACATTGTAATCCAAAGCTTTAGTGTTAATCGCTCTACCCTTGGCCCAAGACTGTGGCTTTTTGCCTAGGCCTGCCCTTCCCAGGTAGACTGCCCCCACTCTGAATCTATTTTGGGCAAAAAGTATCTGTCTTATGTCCTGACTCCACCCATACATCTTCAGTGTGACTACAAATTTTTCTCCTCTGTTGCCAAGAAGTGACTCAAGGGCTCCATAGTGTATTGCTGTATATCACTTCTGGCATCTTTCCAGCTGTTGACCTTCAACCACCCTGGGTCATTTCAGGTGCTTCTGGGAATTAATTAGCATTCTGTAGAATTTCATTAGCACTACTAGCTCTCACTTCCCATTGTCCCACATATAGCCCTTTGTGCCACAATTTCCCTAGAGGATCACTTTTTGGCAGACCGGCTTAGATGGAGGCCAACCCTTTATAAATAAGGAATGACAAAAATAAACATTTGCTGAGTTGTATTTGCATGTAAGGTAGTAAATTATGTTAGCTTATCTCCTATTTTTTGCTCTTTAGTCTAAAATTTCATTTTTTTTTGCTTTCAAGAAATTAGCTCTTTCTTAGGTAATGTTAAATTCATGAAACAGAGCCAGGAATATGCTGCTTTTATAAGCACACTTTTCTTGAACGTTAATATTCTTTTACTGCCTTCCGTTCTTTATTCTCTCATTAATATTCTGCAAACAGGAGTACATTGTAGCTGCTTCTGCCACAAATACCAGCAGACATAGTTTGACAAAAAGTGAATTTAGTCTATTTTTATTAGAAATGATCTTTGGATATGCATTATGAGAAATGCTTTTAGGAGTGCATTTTAAATATAAATTCCAACCTTCTTTTATATACACGGTTTATATTTAAGAAAATATGGGGAGGGCAGCTATGTGGTGCAGTGGATAGAGCACCGGTCCTGAAGTCAGAAGGACCTGAGTTCAAATCCGGCCTCAGACCAAACACTTGACACTTACTAGCTGTGTAACCCTGGGCAAATCACTTAATCCCAATTGCCTAAAAAAAAATTATTTGTGGTTCTCATATAGCTGAATTTGTAGTTATAGGACCTAGGTTCAAATGCTGGTTCTTCCATTTGCTGCCAATATGACCTTGGGCAAGTCTCTTACCTCTCTGAGCCTCAATTTCCTCATCTGTAAAATGGGGAGGGTAGAATAAGTGATCTCTAAGGTCTTTTTCAGTTCTAGTCTTCTGATGACTGTTTGTTTTTAACTTCCTCAATACTTAGTTAAGTCTTACCTCATTGTGTTCCCTTATTTTAATCTCTTTTATGTGACACTTCACAGCTAGATGGCATAGGATACAGAGTGCTGGGCCTGGAGATGGGAAGACTCCTCTTCCTGAGTTCAAATCTGGCCTCAGACACTTACTAGCTATGTGAGCCTGGGCAAGTCACTCAACCCGTTTGTCTTAATTTCTTCATATGTAAAATGAACTGGAGAAGGAAATGGCAAACTACTTCAGCATCTTTGCCAAGAAAATCCCAAACGCAGTCGTGAAGAATTGGACACAACTGAACAAAATGCAACAGTTAATTTTATTATCATTGTTGGCTCCCTCATATTCTCTGTAGGATATTATAAGAACTGAATGGTCATTTCTTTCCCTGAAATTTTCTTTCCAGTCTTGACTATATTGTCACTCTGTTGTGGCAATCTAGGAGCTATACTTTGGCTTTTTTTTTGGTTACCTAAAAAAGTTAACAGTACTTCTTCAGTGTTGAACTTACTGTCAGGAAATTACTTAAACACTCTCATGGATTTGGTGCTATCATAATCTATGTGGTGCTATAATATCTATAATAATATAGATAATATGTGGAGAGGAAATGGGGGTCCAAAAGCAAATATGGATCTCATGATATTTCATTTGCTTTTTTATATATCTTAATAGTTAAGATGCCATAGAATTTTTAATAGTTTGAGATATACAGAGAGGAAATGGCATCCTATCATTTAACTCCAGCTAGAAATCTAAGAGATTGATGAGTTATAGATGGATATCATATACTTTGCTTAATGATAGAAGGAAGGAAACGAGTATTTATAAAGTTCCTACTATGTGCTGAGCACTCTGCTAAGCACCTTACAAATATTATCACATTTAATCCTCACAACTCTAGGAAGTAGGTGCCATTATTATCCCCCCCCCCTTTTTTTTACAGGGGAGGAAACTGAGCCAGATCCAAGTTCAGTGACTTGCTTAGTGTCACATAGCTAGTAAGTGGCTATGGCTAGACTTAACTTCAGTTTTTCTTGGCTCCAGGACTGGTGCTCTATCCTCTGTGCCACGTAGGGGCCTCTAGGTGACTTGTGGTACAGTGGAAAGAACTCTGGATCCTGGAGTCAGAGAACCAGAGGTCAAATATGTATCACTTTAACTACCTTCCTAAGTGACCTTGGGCAAGTCACTTATTTTCTTTGAGCCTCGATTTTTTCATCTCTAAAATAAGGGGTTGTTGGACTAGGTGATCCCTAAAGTCCTTTTCAGCTCCAAATATTACTACTTCAGTTCTCATGATCCATTAGACTATGAGCTCCTTGAAGGCAGGAACAATATTTTCTCTCCCTTTGTATCCTGAACACTTAGCACCCTGCTTGGCACATAGTAGGTGCTTAGAAAATGTTTATTAACTGACTGATCCCCAGTCATTCTTTAGATAGAGGGTCAGGTGCAAGGGGAAACATATCTCCCCTCCCAAAAAGTGGGAAAAAAAAGATAAGCAAATTTAGCACCATCAATGTGGATATTCACTTTTGACACAGAAGGTATTTGCTTTGTGATCTAGGTTGTGCAGTTAGAATGCTGGACTTGGAGTCAGGAAGACCTGAGTTTAAATCCTGCTTCAGACATTTATTAGCTGTGTGTCCCTGGGCAAATCACTTAGCCTACCCCAGCCTTAGTTTTCCCATCTGTGATACTAATAGTACCTATTTCACAGCACATAGGATTATTGTGAGGATAAAATGAGATAACATACACAGTGTGCTTTGCAAACCTTAAAGGGAGATGTCAATGTTAACTTTATTAGGTAGTTTTTGAGAATTGCCAAAAAATTCGTAACCCTATGGCCAATCTGGTGATGAGCAATTTTGATCTTAGCTGTTTGTTGCTCAGATGAGAGAAAAATGGTTGGATTTAGAGACAGAAGACCTGAATTCAAATCCTGTCCATCACTTATGAGCTGAAAAACCTTGGACGAGTCACTTCACTTGTCCATACCTTAGTTTTTTCATCTGTGAAATGAGGTCCCTTAGTGGCTAAAGTTCCATCCAGCTCTAAGCTCTTGACCCTATCTTATTAAGACAACATACAGTGCCATAGCTGAAGTCTTTCCAGCTTAGTAGGATGTGACAGAGCCTTGTACTCTGCTGAAACAGACTTTGAGAGCTCATGGTCATTTCTCTGCTGTGATGAGCCATTGGAGTAGGACTTCAGTGAAAAATTTCTTGCATCAATAATAGAAAGTCAGTAGCTTCAAATACAACATTTAACTTGAAACACCTAAGAACCTTGATTAACACAATGACAAACCATGATTCCAGAGGCTATACATCTCCTGACAGAGAGGTGAGGGACTAACCTTCAGAATGAGACACACATAGTCAACAATAGACATATTCAACTTTTGGATTTGTTTTGCTTAATTATGCATGTTTTTTGCAAGGATTTTGTTTTTCTTCTTTTTTTAAATGGTGGGAGAGACAAGAGAAAAGACATATACTTGATAGCTGAATGAAAATAAAATTAATCAGAATTTTTGAAAATGGATTTAGCATGCCTCATTTATTCTTAGGTGGGTAACCCTGGAGAACCTGGTTTAAGAGGGCCTGAAGGATCACGTGGGTTGCCTGGAGTGGAAGGATCCAGAGGGCCCCCTGGACCACGAGGTATGCAAGGTGAACGAGGTGCGACAGGTCTTCCTGGCATCCAGGGCCCAGCGGTAAGTGTTGGTCTTTTCATATGATTTTATTCTGTAGCCTTCACCAGAAGAAAACATCAATTTGTATGGAAGGAGGCTTTGTCAACCTTTGAAAATTCTTATGATACAAGTCTACTAAGTAGATTTCCCAAAGGCAGCAGGCCTCTGTAGCTCCTTTTCTCCATGCCCATTTCCTTCCCCTTCATCCCTAGCTTTTCCCATCCTTCAGGAAAAGGATAAAAATTACAAGTTACCCCATAAATCAGCAGATAAGTGCTTGATATTCTCATGGGGTAACATGTCCCTTGATGAAAATATTCCAAGATTGGGAAGTTCAGAATTGAATTACTTTAAACCCCTGAGATGTATAAGAATTTGTCCATTTTATGAAAAAAAGTTTATTATTACCAGAAGGGCTGTTTGTGACAGCTACGCCATAGACAGTCATCCTGAATGCCTGAGCTCTTATCCCTCTGACAGTGTTTGTCAGCTCACAATTTAACAGTGCCTTCTTTATAGCTCTGTGTATAAACTGCCTTTTCTCTTTCCTGTCCCAGGGTAGAGCACCAACTGATCAGCATATTAAGCAGGTTTGCCTAAGAGTTATGCAAGGTAAATATATTACAGCGGTTTGACTATTTTGTGCTTTAAGGAAGGTGGAATTTGGATAACAATGTCAGTCCTATTTTATTGAATGTGTCACTATCAATAATATCTTATAAACTCACAGAAAAAAAATTAGCTTTCGGGATATCTTGCATTTAAAAAGCTGCTGGTTCCCTGGGGATATATCAGGAAAGCAATTTTGCTATTTTTAAAAAAAGTTTTCTTTTTTTTTTTTTCCTGCCTCTTTGGTAAGAGGGTAATTTGCAAGAAGGAAGTATTTTTCTGCTTCCTATTGTCAGCTAGCTGAACTTTTAGAATATTTTGACAGAGGTATCTTTGTCTCCTCCACTTTTTTTTTTTACTTTTACAACTTGGTTCAATTTAATCCAACGAGTAAAGGCCAAACATGTGTCTGGTTTTCAAAGAAGGAAGGAAAGGAAGACACATTCCAGGACCTCCAGCAGCTTATCATCTAGTGTTTTGATGTGATATACCTGAAAAAGACTGTAAATGGTTCTCCCCCAAACCGAGGGATCATTTGCAAATAGAAATGGAATACCGATCTGCTAATGGGGATATTAAAATGCCAACAGATCTTATTATTCACTCAGGTTTAAATAACATTCATACCTCTTAGGTAATCACTAAGTATTAATTTCTGAAAATGATAGCAATGATTAATTTCTGAAAATGATATTTGCTAAGTCTTAAAAATCCAGCCAAAGTCATAGTGTGCCTACCTTTAATCATGATCTCTGTCTAAATTGGTTCTGAAACCATAAAGGAAATGATGGTCTAAGGAATGGTCCATAGCTGAGATATTAAGGTCTTTTTTCCTTATAGTCTGGTCAGCAAGCAACTCTTCTGTGACAGAAAAACCTTTCTCTGGAATACTTGATTTTATGAATACTTTGCCTTTTTTCCTGTACTCTATAGTAATTAAATTTATACAATTATGGAAATTCTTGGAATTCAGGTCCATTCAACTAACACTTATTAAATGCATACATGTACAAGCCACTGTGCTGGACACTGGGAATACAAAGATTAAAAAGGCAAAGTATCTAGAACCAAAGAAGAAATAAAATATGCAGCTTATGCATATTTTTTTTTTTGTAAAACATCAGTTTAGGTATGTTGGTTGAGAAGTGTCATTTTATTCAATTTTTTAAAAAAAATCATGTACCTAGAACATGAAAGTGGTTTAACCTTCCTTTCCCCAAAATATGTGTAAAATAGGATAAGTCAAATCCAAGAGATCAATAATTATTCAGATTTTTTAAATCTTATTTTCTTTAAGCCATATCAACAGTTATAAAAAGTTATTCATTTATAAAATTCGTATTTTTTTTTTACTTTTTAAAAACAGACTTCCATTTGTCATAAACAGCAATTCTCTTCCTGAGTCTTTAATTTTGTTAATGGGATAATTTCCTTGTTTGGCATTGTTCTCCATGATCATGTTGAAGATTCATAATCTATTTAATGGTTTCTGAAAAAAGTACAAAAGGGTATTAATTTTTAAGGCTGAATTTGACAGCTTCAATGAAGCAGGTTATTTTTAATTTCCCTCTCTCTATTTCCAGCATGAAAAGACTTTGGAGGGAATATTTTCAAGATAACTTAAAATTAGAAGCTATTTCTAGAGATTTCCAGACTCCCAGAATGTTCTTATTTGTCAAGATAAACAGGCATGGCTGAAACATGGAGATAAATCTGGGGTGGACTTTGAATATTAATTTGTGAGCAGGATTTTGGTTTTCAATAGCTTTTTGGCACTCATCTGGGCCCCTGTACCTCCATGATACTAAGTAGTTCATCCTTCTTTTCTAACCTATCCAGGATAACTGGCTGCCCATTCATACTTGGTCATTTATTTAAGTCATTTCTAGACTTTTGGAGGATTCAGGTTGAGTTTTGATTCTCATAGAACACCTTTTTGTCAAAAAGTCTGATATTTGTCTTATGTGCTCTTTCCACCTCCTGGCCCCCAGAAAATAAAGTTTCACAACAGAAAGATAATGGAGAAGTTATGACTTGATTAATTTCTCACTGTTGGCTATGAAGCTTTTTTTTTTTTTTAGTAAGCTCTTTGAGAGTAGGAAATGTTTTATTGTTTTTACTTATATCTCCAGCATTTAGCACAATGCCTGGCCCCACAGTAGGTGCTTAATAAATGCTGATTGATACATGAGCAGACTTAGAAATTCAATTTTGCTTTAATTTGAGTCACTTGCATATTTAAAACTTTTCCTTGTCTTCATTACAGAGAATCTAGCCTTGATGGCTGCTAGCCTGAGGAGGCCTGATTCAGGTGCTTCTGGGCTACCAGGAAGACCTGGACCACCAGGTCCACCTGGGCCCCCAGGAGAGAATGGTTTCCCAGGCCAGATGGGCCCCCGTGGACTCCCTGGTCTTAAAGGTCCTCCTGGTGAACTTGGCTTGAGAGGCCCTAAAGGTAAGTGATGTTTCATGGGTAGAAACAGTAACATAATAGATATTACGCAACTGAAATCAATAAACATTTATTAAGCATTTGCTACATGATTGGTAAAGGGCATATGAAAAATAGCATAAACCCGTTACTTAGAGAGACTTACAGGAGGAATGAGTATATTCTTTCCTTACAAGATTGAGTATTATAAAAAATTTCCCTTCAAAAATTTGAGAAGGGTGAGTTAACCTTTACCTGGAAAGATGAGGAAATGCTTCATCGAGCCGGGCCTTAAAAGAACAGAAGAATTGCAACAGGTAGAGATGTGATAGAAACATGTTTAAGATATGGAGAATGATCTGGGCAAATACTCTGAGGCTGAGCGATGGATTTATAAACTATAAGAAATTCAGTTTAAATTTAATGCTGAGAATATAAAAGGGACTAGTGTGAAATGAAGCAAGAAAGGTAAATTGGAGCCAGATGGTGGAGGGCTTTGAGTATAAGCTAAGGAGCTAAAATACAAGTTAAGAAGTTTGTATTTTACACTACAGGCAATAACAGGGAGTCAATGATGGTTTTTAAAGCAAGGGAGAGACATTGTCTGAGATGTGCATTAGGAAGATTAATTATGCAAGGAGAGATCAGAGAAGGGTTAGACTAGAGGAAATGAAACCCATTACAGTAGTCCAGGTAAGAGGGTGATGAGGGCCTGATGTCAGGTGGTGACAGCATGAACAGGGAGGAGATTGTGAGAGATATTGGAATAGGACATGGTAACTGGATGTCAAAGAGGGACATACCCAGCATTAGAAGGATGGCCGAACCTTCAGTGGAAATACTTAAGAAGAAGTATAGGTTTCTTTTGGGGGTAGGGAAGGAAAGATGAATTGAATTTTGCAAATGTCTAGTAAACATGGCAATATGAAAGGTTAATAGTTGAGTCTAGCTCCCCCAGGAAACTCCCCAGCAAAGATTTAAAAGGGTACTAGAGGAAGGATTGATGAATGAAACCACAGGGAATCACCATAAAACTCCCTTTTCCAATATAGGACTGTAGAAGAATATGGCCAGAAGCCTTAGGATGATTTGATCAGGTTCTATAGCCACCAAATGGGATCTCTGCTCTGCCCTGTAGGAGCTGTAGGAGGGGACAAAGTCACCCCCCCGTAAGGGTACTGCCCAGGAAGTTGGAGATAGAGTTGAGGATGTCAATGGGTTCTCTAGCCAGTGGAATCTTCCATATCTAGTCAGGACCTAAATAAATGGAGATGGTGATGAGACCAGCACCCATGCTGGGTATCAGAAGAGGGAGGCAGAAGCCATGGTTGGACCAAGGGGGTGGAGCTTGGCCTAATCCTGGTTCAGGGCTTCAGAAGAGAGTAAAGAAGGAGGCCAGAAATGAGTTATCCTTCTAGAACTACGACAAGGGATCCAGATTATAGAAGAGGAAGAACCAGGTATTGTTTGCTTACCCCAAAGAGTATGTGTATAAATGTGTGTGTGTGTGTGTGTGTGTGTATGGGGGGGAGGGGGGAGGGATAAGGTCTGACCCTGGCACAAAGTCTCAATCCAGAAACTGAGCAAGAGATATAAGTAAAAAAAAAAACCACTGTATACAATGAAGTTGTGAAACCTAAAAGGTAAATGAAGAAGAGAATAATTAATAAGTAATAGCAGAGGCTCAGAAAAAAATGGCTTGTCCATATAGACTCTGAGGGTGGGTGGCAGGCATGAAATAAATAGGAAAATGAAATTAGAACTAGAAGAATCAGAAGGAAGATCAATTAATTTGGCTTGGGATTAGATTTGACTTGGTGTCAGGTCATCCAAATGGAGATCAGAGGATGGTTTATGTGGAGGTAGAATGGACCTCAGAGACCATCTTATCCAAAGTCCTCATTTTATAGAGGCCACGAGAGGTTAAATGACTTGTCTAAAGTCTCATAGGGAACAGAGTCAGAGATGGGATTTGGACCTAGGTCTTTGGAATGAAGAGTAGGATTCTTTCCATTGTACTATTCTACTTAAGTTGGAAATTTGTATGCACACTCATACAACCATATCCACACATATATACATACACACCTGCCCCCATATATACATGAGATGATGCAGCATATAGTGGATAATGTGTCTGTCTCAGAATCAGGAAGGCCTAGGTTTAAGTATCGTCTCTGATGTATGCTGGCTTTTTGACCCTGGTCAAGTAACTTAAATTTTTGGTGTCCCAGGCGCGACTCTCTAAGGTTGTAAGGTAGAGAGTAGGTGGTAATCTCCTTTGGTGAAGGGAATTTCCTCACTTGGAGTTCTCTACAAGGTCAAGTCCAAAAATAGAAGCACCTACTATTGCTAGTTCCCACATTTTATGTATGTATGTATATATATACACACATATGCATACACAAAAATGTGTACATATATATATGTGCCTATATCTATATCCTAGCTGCCCCATCTTAGTAGCACAGTGGGGAAGACTCATCTTCCTGAGTTCAAATCTAGTCTCAGACACTTATTAGCTGCGTGACCCTGGACAAATCACTTAACCCTGTTTGTTTCAGTTTCTCTCTCTGTAAAATGAGCTGGAAAAGGAAATAGGAAACCACTCTAGTATCTTTGCCAAGAGAAACCCAAGTGGGGTTCTGAAGGGTCAGACATGACTGAAAACAACTAAACAATGACAAACATCTATATCCAGATACATATATAAACATGTATATATACATATACACACATATACATGTACACACCTATCCTTGACCCTTTTCCCTTCTGTATACGTTGTCTCCTTCAGCAAACTGTGGGTTCTCTCTGATAACATCAAATACCACCTCTGTAGAGATAATTCATGTGTATGATTCATATGTATGTGTATTATCTGCATGGAGAGATGATACTTGATGTCATGGGAGTGAGTAGTTTGTTGGGGAAGAGGGCTACCGAATGAGTCTCAGAGGACCCCCAAATGAAGGGGAGGATGAGCCAGCAAAACGAGACAGAGCAGTCGGGTGGTAGAGTGCTATGAACTGACAAGTGTTCACTATGTTTTTGGGGAAGAACTTTTAATAAGTAAGCTTCAGAGAGCACATCGGTGACCCCAGCATTCCTCAGTCATTCATTCAATAAGCATTGGATGACTACCATGTAAATCCCCCCCCAAATTTATATTGAATGAACTTTTTATTGGCTCCCTTTGATAGATGAGGAATTATTTAGCCCCACCTAGTTCATGGGTGAATTGTGGTCCAACACATTAAAGTTTCCTTTGCTAATGGGAGCTTTCTCTCTTCCTTCTCTTTTTAAGGCAGTTTAAAACCACTCATTTTGAGTGGCATTATGGTATAGTGAATGAGACATTACACTGGGAATCAGGAAGACCTGGGTTCAGATTCTGCCTCAGACACTTTATCAATTGTGTGAACCTGGGCAAATTACTTAAACCTTTTGTGCCTCAGTTTCTTCATCTAAAAATGACAGTTGAAGTTGATGCCATCTGAGGTCCTTTTTCATTATTTTATAGAAAATAGAATTACAAAATACATTAGGGTATTCATAAAGTCAAACCTGTAGGCCACTTGCTCTTTGGTGCAGATATGTATAGTAAATTGGTGTGTAAATGTGCTGATTGGTTTGTAGAAAAAAATAAAGCCGAGAGCTGCTGTGCTACCCCAAGCGACAACCCTGAGTGAGGTTGCATTCTCAGGAACACCTGAAAGATGTATCATCACAAACTAGGAAAACAATTTCATTAATGTGTTGCTCCAATTAGTAGTAAATATTATGGTGTAAATTGTCAAAGAGCAAGCAAGCTGCTTCTGTGGATGCAGGAGTGAATTACTGGTACAGTTGGCTAACCAGGCTCTCAGTCGGAGCAATTTAGTTAATTACATATGTGATTTTTTGCAGGTGCAAAACTGCTCATCAAAACAAGGGAGTCTAATTGGGGCTCCTTTGCAAATCTGGCAAATTGCCTGATATTTCTGAGTTTTCAGAGGTTGGCCACAATAAAGTACCTTGAGGAAACTGAAATTAGAATTCATCCTGAAGATACTGAAGCATTTTCTCCAAGAGAGACAAATAGCTATTTTTCTTTAGCCTGTTTTCAGTTAGTTTGGACACTCATACTCAGATGCTGGTCTCAATGGTCTGGCCCTATTCACTTGGCAAACCATCTCCTGTGTTCTCCATTTCTTTGTGATCGATTATTTCCTCGGATTGATCTGCTGGTCCAGACCACATTGTTGAGAGCCTCTCGGTGCCATTTAGAGCACTAACAATTACTCAACTTATCTCTGAAAGGGAAGGAACACATTTCAGGTTTCCACTTTATATAGAAAGCCACAGGTCGGCAAGGGCCCATTTTGTTTGGACAAAAGGAAATGGAAGTATTTGGAGGCAGAGCTTTATCTGGGTCAGTCACTGATTGTCTCCCCTTAAGTCCCATCCTCATTCATTTAAAGAATGAAAATGCCATGTGCACCCCTGAGAGAGATTTGTCCTATAGTTGAGGTGATGGAATTGGTTAGCATATGGTGGTGCTGAGGAGCGTGCTTCCAAAGTAGCTCCTTTTTCTGCAGTCCTGACATGCGGCTTCATCAGGTGTGTCGGCAGTAGACCAGGAACTCCATTTAATAGAGAAAAAAGCTCCCATCTACATATAGAAACTAGCAAATGTCACCAACACCCAATTCAAATGTCAAGTATAGTTTGATGAAATAGCTGTTTTTCTTTCAAATGATCTCCTGATTTGTGATATGAATTCTAAGCAGCCAAAGGTACTTGGTGTCTCAGATAAAGGCTTTGATCCAATAAGGATCTTCTCATTCCAAGAATTTGTTTACATTTTCTTAGTGGCTTCCCTGAGAATAGATAATGCTGTTTCTTTCCCAAAATCTGTTCTCAGTTTTCCTTTGAAAAATGGGTGATAGGGTTGAGGGATGGGGAGGGTGGGGTCAGGCTTCTCCTTAGAGAGAACCCTGTCACACTTAACAGTCTGTAAACATAACAAGATTTATTTTTTT